ATAATCACGAAGTACATGGACGTATCAAATGGAGAAATGTCGTTCGCGAAAAACAACTTCTAGTTTGAATAATTAACCCAAGTGAATGATTAGATCTAATTCGCTAAAAGTTGAACTATTATAATAGGTATTTGAACCGTAAGCGATTGACTAACGTGTAATTTCATACTAATTTGATAATTCCTTAAAGGACCATGAAAGAAAAAAATTTTAATTTATTTTATACTCAAAAAACATAATACTCCGTGTTAAAAAAATTATGGTCCAAATTAAAAATGTTTACGACTTTTCGTTGGCGATATACAGGCATTTGAAGTTGACGTGTGACGTCATAGAATCTATTCTCCGGGCGTTTATACATGTAAATATTACGTCTTCAACTTTATTTACCCAATATTATGAATGTAATATTCAATATACCGGGCTTAGTCTTAGAGATATTTTTAACGATTATAATTTTCTATTTAACTTAATGTTATAATATTATATAATTAACTATAACAATAACAATAATTGTAGTGAAATAGTCACAAATTTGATACTGTTCAACAGTATTATTCAACTTTATTATTGTAATCGTTGATAAATTATATTCCCAGTTCCCACTCTCAGACCAATGTTATAAATATTATTTTTCGATAACACGCGATCATGATAATTCAGTCTTTCAGATTATTTATTATTTTATAAATCAGTATTACGTGATCTATGATAATGGTCGTCGCGACGTGTTTTATAAAGCAGTTCCGTTTTTAAAAACGTTTTCGTTTGTTTTTTCGTTTTCGTTTTTCTTTTATTTGTAGTGTTGTATAAATGTACCTATACTTTATAAAAAATTATAAAAGTGTAACAATAAATATCAAAAATAAACAAAAATTAAAAATATGACTCTGTGTTGTGTTTATGGTTGTTCGTCATATTCTGGCAAAAATGTACAATTTTTCTCTTTCCCAAGAAAAGATAAACACCCTGGTACATTTAAAAAATGGGTATCTTTTTGTAAAAGAAAGAATTTTGTACCTTCTTCAGGTACCAGAATATGTTCTAAACATTTTAGAACTGAAGATATGAATCAATCTGATTTGCTCCGAAAACAGTTGATGCCGAATGAAAATATTCGAATACGTTTAAATGTTGATGCTGCTCCTACTGTACGTTTTGACGACGAGAAAATTACGCCGAAAACTGTACGAAGACAATTATTGAGAACCAGTACACCAAAAAAAGTAAAATTACAACCATCAACATCAACTAATATCATATGTAAGAATAATTGTCAAAAACAAAATAGTGAAGAGTTTCTGATTAATTCAAATGTCGAAAATAAGAACGATAAAGGTATACAGTGTGATATGAATAATGAAACAAATACTGATGCTACCGAATCATTCGATTTTCCATCTGATATTAGCTCTACAGATGACGAATCAGAAACAACTTATGGAGAAGATGAAGAGCAGCTCGATTATCTTAGCGCGAAAACACATTCACTAGAAAAGGTAGATAGTAATGCAAGTTTTATAGTTTTTTGGGATTGTTTATCTGAACTTTTTATTCATTGTCGTCAATGTAGCAGTAAAATAATATCAAAAACATATTTTACACAAGGTGCTTTACTGTCTATTACGACAGTCTGTAATAAAGGTCATAAATTACAATGGTCATCGCAAAAAAAAATAGGACGTCGTCCTCAAGGTAATATTTTAATTGGTTCAGCACTTATGTTATCGGGTGTACTTTTTACCCAAATGACGGCATTTTGTCAGTCGCTTAACTTATTGTTTTTTTCTCGGCCAGTTTATGACAAAATAATAAAATATTATGCGGGTCGGGTTATTTGTGAAGTTTGGGATGACCATAGAAAAAAAAACTTAGAATTACTAAAAACTTCCGATATTTGGTTATCGGGTGATGGACAGTTTGATTCACCTGGATTTAGCGCAAAATATTGCACGTATTCAATTATGGATCTACACACAAGTAAAATAATTTATTTTAAACTCGTACAAAAAGGTATGTTTCAAGGTGATCTCGAAAGAAAAGCGTGTGAGTTATTATTAGAAAATTTAACTAACGAAGAAAATATGAAAATTAAATTATTTTTATCCGATAGGCATAAAGGTATACGGTATTATTTACGAACACAGCACCCTGAGATTGAACATGAGTTTGATATATGGCACTTAACAAAAAGTTTAATGAAGAGGTTAAAAACATTAGAAAAGAAACATCTAGATGTTTTTTTATGGAAATCTAGTATTAACAACCATTTATGGTGGTCGGCGCAAACTTGCCAAGGAAATGGTAAAATATTGGTTGAAAATTTTTTATCAGTTATACATCCTATTAGTAATGAACACGAATGGGAAACGAGCGGAGAAATAAAACGGTGTGAACATGAGCCAATATCAGAAAAAGAATCAAATGAAAAATTATGGATTAACCCTCTGAGTGAATCATTCTTTGCGTTAAAAAAAATTTTAACAGCGAAAGATTTTATAAAAGATTTGGAACAAGCAAAACATTTTGTTCATACGGGTCGGTTAGAATCTTACCACAATGTACGACTAAAATATATGCCGAAGCGCATACATTTAAAATATAATGGTATGTATTTACGTTCCATTTTAGCAATATTAGATCATAATTATAACACAGGCAAAAACATAATTGGTGATAAAATGGTTTTTTCGAAATCTCTTCGAAAATACACAATAAAAAATACTTACGAACGATCAAAGACAGATTGGCGGAAACAAATTATGAATAAGATTGAAGAATTGTCAAAAGAAAATATCTTAGAACCTATGAATATCTCTGAAAATGTATCTGTTCCACAAAATATCGTTCTTTTACCGAAACCAGATTTAGACGAAATGCGTGAAAAAAAATATTCAAGATTTTCTAATAAATAAAATAAGTAGTTTTATCAAACTTTATTGTACTTTATTGTAATCAGGCTAGTTATCTTTTAGTTGTATAAAATATTATTTGAGAATTAAGATGTATACTTTTTCATAAATAAAATATAAATAATTACAGATTATTTGCAATTTTAATTTATTTTTAATATGGTATTTTTGAGTTTTTAAAACCAGTGTATTGTCCATCTTCTTCGGCATACTTTGTACGAATTACATTTATTACACACGCTGGAATTACAACTCGATTTCCTAAATCAAGTACATAATGTAATAAATACTTTTATTATAATTGAAGATTATGAAAATTATTAAATTTACCTTTTCCTATAGGTGTCCATTCATTTGCCCAGAAAACAAATTGTTTGTAGCACAAATATCTTCTCGTTTTATTTTCCAGGATAGTATTGCACAATAACTTCTTTTTTCCCTTATTTTTTGTTTTGGAAATGATTTGTTTTCGAGTAATTTCAATAACTTCTTCGTCCAATATTAATTTCGAAAACGATGGGTTTTCTATCACACATTTATATATACCACGTAATTTATTTAAAATGTCTATTTCCGAACAGCAAATACACTCGCGATCCGTTGGTAATATTGTGCATTTTTGACAATCACACCAATTATTTATTTGAAGCAATGATCTACCAAAGCATTGGCAAAATTCATTATGATTAGAATTGAAAGAATCATAGTCATCGCAGAAATCTAATTTCGTTGGTTCAAATTTATATGGTGAGGTCATATTGATAAGTTAACCACAATCGTAATTTATTTTCAAGTACACTCAAAGAAACACAGAACAATACTAAAATAATAAATACTAATCCAGTAATAGAAAAAAACGACAAAAATCCCGTTTTATCAGTTAGAACTAAAAATAAAAATAAATATTATATAGCACGTAATTATTTTTGTACACAAAAATATCAAACCCAAAATAATAATATGTAATAATATTATGCGAAATAATAATATGTACGACGCGCGACGTACGTACGTACTGCGGCCGCAGCAAGATTAGATTCTATGACGTCACGCGCTAACTTTAAATGACTATAACTCGCTAACGAAAAATCGTAGACAAGTTTAGTTTGGACTTCTGTTTTTCTTTAATTAAGAATTTTTTTTTAAGGATTAGTTGTTTTTTTTCCTTTCGTAGTCCTTTAACAAGTCAATGACGGGATTATAAATTATTAGTCTAAGACATAACAATTGGAGAGTGGGAGTTTAACACCGAATTCACATGAATTTAATAATCTATTATAGTTAGAAAGAA